TAGCTAATTATGAAATGCGTGATAAACTATTTTGTTGATGTTCACCATGTCATGTTTAACTTCAGTTTATGCTTAATTTTTTTATGAAATGCTTACGCCAACTGTCATCACTTGGTTTGTACATTGCTAATTATCTAAATTATGCATAAATGAAATTTGTCATGAGTGTTTCTATTGAAGAGGTTTAACTTTACCTCTTCATTGTGTGGGAAGGACAGAGTGGTGGGACCTCCAGAGTATACAGCAGCAGCATTAGTTCCTCCTTGCATACCATGAGGGTCATGATGAGGCTCTGTAGGAGAGACAATAGGGGCATTTGCCTGCAGGCAGGATCTAAACTGTGTAGGAGCTGCTACAAAAAACCTCTGAATCGCTTTAATATTATCCTCCATCTGCTGCAGCCGCTCTTGCATCTCTGACCTAAATTGGTCCAGCTTCTTAGAAATAACTACCTCGGTGTAGCACTCAGGAACATAATAAGTATCCTGTGTATATTTTAAGAGACATTTACCACATAGTACATAAGAATGTGATACTGGAAAAAGTTGAAGCCGAGAACATTTGAACACAAAAGACTCTTGTCACCTACCACTCCATTCACTTCTCAGTTATCACCATTATACCAGATACAAACAGCAACACACTTGAATTTCTATTAATGCATCATATATATATATTTCGATATACTTATGTGTTGCTTTTTTTTTTTTAATACATACTTACGTGTTGCTTTTGTGCAGGGGGGTTAATCGATTTGGGCTCCTCATTCTGTTGTGCCACTTTCCTACTGCCGTGGCCTGGGAGGACAGATTGACGCGCAATCTGGGGAGCATTAGCCATAAGCCCACTAGGTCGAGAACCACCAATTGAGATATGATGTAGAGTATAATTGTCAGCAGTTGCAAGCATTTTGCCCCTTCGGGCTTCGGCCAGTTCTTCCTCTCTCGTCCTCTTTAACTCCCTTGTTGGTGGCTCAAATGGGGTGCCCATTCCTGTTAGATTCA